AAAAGGGCTGACGCCAGCAGGGCAGACCTGGGAGACAAATGAATAGAAATGCTACATGGCCAGCGGAAAAGGGCGGACGCGAGCAGCGACAGACCTGGGAGACACATGCATAGAAATGCTACATGGCCAGCGGAAAAGGTGACAGACCTGGGAGACAAATGAATAGAAATGCTACATGGTCAGCGGAAAAGGGCGGACTAGCAGTGACAGACCTGGGAGACAAATGAATAGAAATGTGCAAATGAATAGAAATGCTACATGGCCAGCGGAAAAGGGCGGACACCAGCAGCGACAGACCTGGGAGACAAATGAATAGAAACGCTACATGGCCAGCGGAAAAGGGCGGACACCAGCAGTGACACAAAGGGCGGACACATCTTAAGAAAGAATTGAGAACCCCTAACAGTAAACTGTTTGGGGAAAAAGTTAGATGTATTTTTACAAAGGGATTAACTAGTGGAGGTTTTTCAATCAACTCATCAACTCTCGACTCATGCTGCTCATCCAGCAACTCTCACCTCATGCTGCTCATCTCTTTTTCAGCTCATCAAGGAGGTCTGAGTCTTTGCTCATGGCTGGCCCATCTGATACTTAGCATCAATGGGCCTGCCAGCTCTCTTATGTTCCCTCCTCGTCCAGTATGCAAGGCACTTAGCCTCATCACACCTCAAGCAGCCTGATTGAAATCTGCATGATGAGCAAATGCCTACACCTCTAGCCGCAATCTTAGCTCTTTGCACATGGTACTCATGAGGGAGCTCATCAATCTGGATGGCTTTCTTCTCATCCAGGCATTCTACTGCTTGTCTCATCAGAGAAGTCAGCTCCTCATTCTTTTTCACCCTGGACTTTGCCAGCTGATGCTGCTCATGCATCTGACCAAGGTTCTTCTTTCTCATTGGCAAGCTCAAGATCTTTCCTGATCTTGGGAACCTCATTGGCCAGCTGCTTGCTGATCTTCTCCAATCCTTGTATTTGCAAGCAACTCATTGCCTCATTGCCAAAAAACATATCCGGGCAAGAGACCCCAAACAGTGTATAAGCAGAAAGTCTAGAGATCTAGACGCATTGGGGTCCAGAGAGGTGATGGCGGTGATGAAGGTGGGGATCGTGGTGACGGCGGCGGTGGTGGTGAGTGAGTGAGTTTGAGTGTGAGTATGAGTGAGAGAGTGAGAGGGAGAGTGAGAGTGAGTCAGAGTGAGAGTGAGGGTGCGAGTGAGTGTGAGTGTGAGTGTGAAAGAGTGTGAGTGAGAGTGAAGGTGAGTGTGGGTGAGAGTGGGAGAGTGACTGAGTGTGAGTGCGGGTGTGAGTGAGAGTGAGAGTGAGTGTGGGTGAGAGTGAGAGTGTGAGGGAGTGTGAGGGAGTGTGAGTGAGAGTGGGAGAGTGAGAGTGTGAGGGAGTGTGAGTGTGAGTGAGAGTGGAAGAGTGAGTGACTGGAAGCGAGTGTGGCTCCTCTCAGCCTCAAGCCAACGCTTTGTTTTCTCATCCTCCTCAAACTTTGCTCACCCTTTTGGTCTTAGCTTTCTTTTGCCCATGCACCCCATGCGCACCTGTGTTCAGTTCTCTTTGATCGTCTTCTTTGCCGGCGGATTGCTTATGCTTCTGCATATCTTCTGCCCATTGCTTTCTCCTTGCCCATATGAATCTCAAAGTACTCATCCTCAAGCCAAATTTCTTTTTGCCACGCCTCATCAAGTCCATTTCTGATGCAAAGCTCTCTCTCTCTCTTTTTAAACAAATGCTTGCAAATTGCATGCTTGCGGCCTCTAGGCCCTAGGCAAATCTTGTCTCAATTGCTTCTCACCCTTCATTCTCGCATTGCTCTTATGCCCACCTGCCACACCTCTCAGCTGATCCTTTCTGGGTCTTCCACCAGGGTGCTTTCGTGCATCTCTTGTTGCAACCTGACTGCTGACTCATCTAATTTGCCTCAATGAGCTTGCCATCTGATGTGATGAAGCCCTGCCTTAGCAGGGCATGAACAGCATCAACGATGGTCTTTTGCTTCTTCAGAGGCGGCAGAGCTGGTGACTCATCCACTGATGACAGGGGTGAGCCTGATGTTGATGATGGAGATGGGAAGAATATTCGAATGGTTGACTGTCTCTTCCCAGGGGTTGGAAACAAATTCATTGGCACCAATGCAGACGCAACTGATGCATTTGATGCCAATGACTGAAGAGGGTACCCTGCTCATTGGCACAGGCGCACACATTCTTAGACGCTGGCTTCTTCTTCACCCTGAAGCTTCTCATGTTGAGAATCTCAGGTTTCTTTGCTGTTGGCTTCTCATTGTCACCCTTCCCATTGCCCTCTGGCTCTTGCTTATTATTCAAGTTCTTTTCATTCTCACAAGAATGGCTCTCCATCTCCTGCCCTTGCTCCATGCATGCTTCCATATCGTCTTCAAAATCGCGTTCTTCTTCTGATTGCTCATCCCACTCATTTCCAGAACCTCTCTCAGTTTGCTTTTCTTGTTCTTGTCGGCTTTTCTTTTGGCCTCTTGCTCTCATCAAAAAAGCTCAGCTTTAAAAGCAAGATGGAACCCACGAACCCGAATGCAAACGCATGCTCGAAGACAAACGCCCAAACAATTTTGACGCTCTTGTAGGACACATTCTTTTCGGAAACCTTTGTGGGACACTCTTGCGCACTCTTGCGGTACGCCTTGTATGACACTCACTCTTGTGGGACACTCTTGTTTGTCACTCTTGTGGGGCACTCTTGTAGGACACTCTTGTCGGACATTCTTGTGGGACGCTCTTGCGAAACACTCTTGCGGGAGACTCTTGTAGGAAACTCTTGTCGGACACTCTGGTGGAACAGTCTTGTGGGACACTCTTGTCTGACACTCTTGGCGAACACTCTTGTGGGACACTCTTGCGGAACAATCTTGTAGGACACTCTTGTGGAAAAGTCTTGCAGGACACTCTTGTGGGGCACTCTTGTACTACACTCTTGTCGGACATTCTTGTGGGACACTCTTGCGGGACACTCTTGTATGACACTCACTCTTGCGGGGCGCTCTTGCACTCTTGTAGGACGCTCTTGCGAAACACTCTTGTGGGAGACTCTTGTAGGAAACTCTTGTCGGACACTCTGGTGGAACAGTCTTGTGGGACACTCTTGTCTGACACTCTTGGCGAACACTCTTGTGGGACACTCTTGTAGGGCACTCTTGTACGCTTTTGCGGGACACTCTTGCGGAACAATTTTGTAGGACACTCATGTGAGAAAGTCTTGTAGGACACTCTTGGTGGACACTCTTGTAGGACACTCTTGTGGGGCACTGTTGTAGGGCAATCTTTTCGGACATTCTTGCGGGAGACTCTTGCGGGACACACTTGTGGGGCACTCTTGTACGTCACTCCTGTGGGACGCTCTCGTAGGACACTCTTGTGGGACACTCTTTCGGAACTCTCTTGTAGGACACCATTGTGGGACACTCTTGTAGGAGACTCTTGTCGGACTTTTGTCGGACATTCTTGTGGGACAATCTTGTGGGACACTCCTGTTCACTCTTGCGGAGCACACTTGCACTCTTGTAGGACACTCTTGTGGGACTCTCTTTTGTGTCGCTCTTGTGGGACACTCTTGTAGGAGACTCTTGTCGGACTTTTGTTGTCGGACACTCTTGTGGGACACTCTTGCTCTTGTGGAAACCTTTTGTAGAACATCTTAAGATATGCAGGCATCTGCAGGCTCATGGGTCTCAAACATCTGGCGCCTCATGGCTGCCCTGATTATCTCCATCACCTCATGGATGAGATTTGATGCGCTCTCCCCAGCATCATTCCTGTGCTCATAGATGCCACCTCATGCAGCAAAAAACGTCACCCACCATCACCCTACCAAAGCAACCAAATTCAAATCCAATCAGTGCCAAAAGGATTCTCACTCACCTCATCCACTCCCACCTGCATCCTCAGCAGATCTTTGAATGTGCGTATGTAGCACACTGTGCAGAAACTCATCCAAACCATGATGGAATGCACCTCATCAGAGGCCATGCACCTCATGGTGTCATGCTCATAGAGCAGCCATGACCTCATCAGAGGCGTCCTCATCTCCACGCTGCAAGGAGGTTTCTTCTCATCCCACCCATTGCCCACCAATCCCCTCAATGAGGTGAACCTCATCTTCAAATGCCTGATCTTTTCCCTGATCAGAGGGCCGTTGTAGTCCAATCTCACATCAATGCTGGCCATCCCCTCATGAAGCCCATCCACTGCCTGGACGACCTCATCCTTCATCTTTTTGAGGTACATCCCCAGGCCATCCATCATGGCACCAATGCCACTCCTGCCCGTGGCCAATGCTCCCATGGCACCAATCATTGCTGCTTATGGGCTGATGAGCTGATGATCTGATCTGAACAAGCTGATGTGCTGATGAACCAAACTCTATGGTAATTCATGGTTTTTCTCATACCCACCCCCATGATGCTTCTCATACCTACCCCCTGGTCCGTCTCAAACCTATCCCATTCCATCCGTTTCATCCCCTCCCATCCCTTGCCATCCCTTCCCACTTCAAGCCCGTCATCCTCATCACCTTCATCAGCCAATGCCCAAAAGGCATTGTGGAGAAGAATCCGCATGGTGGTTATGAGACTACCTCTCCTGAGCCACAAACAAATTCCTCTCATGCCTGGGTTCCTATGAACTCATTGTTTCCTATATGGACTCTGGCCTCACGCTCATCAGCTCATCCCCTCAAACACTGGTATCATCCTTTTTGGTCCAATGGTCTCCAAGCAGATTATTCAGGGGAGGTGGACCTCATGAGTGGTATCTCATACCTCCTTGGCCTTGTTGACCTACCATGTGGGGGTGTTATTAATCCGGTCTTGACATTACAGTGCAAGCGGTGAATCAAACCACATGCCCCAAATGAGCCCAAAGAACCGCTGTGGGCCATTCTGAAGACCCAGCCACTGGACAGTCGCTTGGGGACATGCTTCTTGTGGATCAACTTTCTATGGTTCCCTTTCACGCGAGGCCCAAACTGTACAAGTGCGCTTCATCATTTGCTGAAACCTTTCAAAACCAATTTGGGATGCAAATGGCTGTGAGCGAATTCTCGGTGGGCACCAGTGACTTGGATGAACAGGGCATCCTGATCTAATTTGGGTTGGTGTGGTTTGCTTGTTCATGGCTCAGTTTAGTTTGGACACCATTGCAGTCGGTGTTTTTGTTCATTGTTTTGCTTGGTACTACCGCAGGAATTAGTTGGATTCTTTAGGCATCCCTTCACGCTCCACAGAGTTCGCATCAGTGTCATAAGTGGCATGTTTGAGTTTCAGCCTTGAACTGGACAGGAAGTGTTCATTGTCGAAGAATCCAGCATTGCATGAGTCATTGCATGAGGCGAAGACGCACTTTTTGCTTGTCGCGATCGAAAAGTCCTGATGGCATTTTTACAAGAGCAGCTCAGTGCTTGGGATGCTTTTGGGATACAGGCAAGCTCCAGTTTGCTGCTCGAGTTTGTGTGTCGACTCTAAACAGAACTATATAGTAAGATGTCAACTGCGCGCACATGGACCGAAGGGTCACCAACAGACCGACAGATTCACTGGCAACTGACAACGGACCAGTCAATTCAGCTGATCAGGGATTTTTCTGGACTTGGCGCATGCCCTTTGGAAAGATCTTCGAGCCTGGATGGAGCCTCCGATGGCTTGCAGGTCTAGAAGAAACAGCTGCTTGATCGAAAGAGAAAGAAGGGTATCCCAGCTGGTCTCTCAGTTTCCTGATGTGTACGTCATAGAGGTTGGAAAGTACATAAAGCAAAGGGTGAAGGCGCCCACATGAACAGTATAACAGATGTGGACTGGCACCACGCCCCTGTACTAAATAGAGCTCTTGAGGCCAGGTGGGTTCAACAAGGGATAGGAACTTTGGGGAAGATCCAAGCTGCCAGCGTTGGCCAAAATCATTTTGCCCACTCTCCATGTATATATACAGCTTTTGTTGGAAGAGACACAATCAACATCCTTCCTATGTATACATAAATCTACTGTGGAACCTCATGTTGGAGCAGGGTCAGAGCCCTATGGCGCAGACGGGACCTGCACCGCAGCAACCAGCTGCCCAGCAGCTCAACATGGGACAGGTTTGATTGATTGGGTTCTCAGCTGCGTCAGTGGATGGTGGTGAGAGATGGATGCAAAGTTGCAAAACATTTACAAACACAAGTATATAATTGTATTGATATACACATACATACAGTACTTGGTTAGTGCAGTTCCATGCCGCCAATCCAATGGGGCTCTGGATGGGGTGGCTGGAAGAGTGAGGTAAGCTTCATCGAAGACCAAAAAATTATATTGATATACTCTTCCTTTCTGGTCTGCCAGTCAACTGTTTGTATTGGTGTACCAAAGGGAATATTTGGTTGTATGTTTGTATGTTTGTCATGCTTATTGGTGCAAGTTCTTAAACGTCTTGGCAGTCCATGCTCCCCGTGATCCCTATTGACACACGTAAGTATTCATAAGCATTCATGGTTTCAGAGATGGACGGCTTGTATTCAAAGCGGTTCGTATAATGCACCAGAGTCGGTAATGTGCGGACAAGCAAACATTTGCAGGCCAACCTACCTTGCTTCCAGTGACCAGACGATCCTTGAGATGGAGTGACTTCTTGAAGTCTCACCCAACTTATATGGTTTGATTGAGAATTTCAGCATCGTCAATGGTGCGTGTCAATGGACATCGTTTCTGGCTGTAAAAATGATCTCCGCCAGCTGAAGGCTGGAAGAAATACTTTGTGCTTGGCAGGTACGACTTCCCAGACAGCCAGACCAGCAGCGGAGTAGCTTCGGCGATGAAAAACTGCTTCGGCTCCTCCGCTTTGCGATGCTGCCTCGGCGCCTCACCTTTCCAGGGGTTCAAAGGAGCAAGGACGCTACTAGGGGCTCCTGGCATCGCTACAAGGGAATTGTTACTACTAGCAACAAGAAGCTGCTAGGGGCTCCTGGCCCTACTACTAGGAGCAAGGACGCTACTAGGGGTTCTTGTAAGTTCTTGCCCCCATTGTGGGTGTGTGTGTATATATATATAATGCCTCGCCGATGACCTCGTGTCATTCCATGTTTGTTTTCGCTCACGCCCCCCCTAACGACCCCGGAGAATTTCCACGTTTTCACCATCAACCAAGTTGATACTACGTTGGGGATGGGGTGGGGTGGGGATGGGGTGGGGTCTGTTAACGTTCGCTTGCACTTGCAAACCAAGTTGATGCTACGTTGGGGATGGGGTCTGTTAACGTTCGCTTGCACTTGCAAACCAAGTTGCTGCTACCAAGTTGATACTACGTTGGGGATGGGGGGGTGTGTTAACGTTCGCTTGCACCGCAAATGGTCATCCCTGAAGAAGCTTATCCCGAAAGAGTTGGCGTCCAAACGATCCAATGGCGGGTTGGATGCACAGATCCACGAATATATGTATAGCGTTGTGTGGCGCTGTAATACACCGTCTAAGCACCAACTGCAGAAGTTGGGTCAGATGGCACAGAAGGTGTGGAACGCCTGAAAAGGAGTGGCACGCCTGAAGGAGTGGAAGTGTGTTAATGCTTCATGAAAAAAGAGAAACGATTACTGTAAACGTCTGTTTTTAAACTTCCGGGTCCCCGAACGAAATGTCATTTCACAATGGAGTTACGATTTGAGAGGCGTTTTGTGGTGTAAAAACGCATACAAACTGACATTGATCTAAAAGAGGCATCGCCATAAAGTGCCAGAACGATTGTGAAAACGACTCGAAGATGCATGTGAGAACGCGCAAATCGCGCGGGGCCGTTGCAGTGGGCGTGACCTTGTTTTCTCCTCCCTATCGTGGCTTATTCTATTCCCAAGCAACTTGCTACGTGGTGCACATTTAGGAATAAACATTGTATCAGTTTTTCACTATTGAGTTGGAGGCCAATACTATTAGGTTGGAGGCTATCATTATGAGGTTGGAGGTCATTCCTATTCAGTTGGGGGCCATTTCAGATCCCATTCAGGTCCCAACACATGATCACACCGTGATCAAACCTTGTGATGCAACGTTTGCAGCACGCCTGTGTCTCCGAGGTTGGGCGGATCAAAGCTGTCACTGGTATGGGAGCTTAGGTAGGTCAAACAGTTAGAATTGTTTGGCGGTTCCAGCGAAGATGTCAACCGGTGTTTTAAAGAATTAGGTTTTTATATATCTATATATATACAGAATATATAATATATATAATATCTTAATCAACCCAGCTTCGCAACCCACCACCAGGTAGCAGCTCAATTGACTGGAACTTTTCAATCACTCCAACTATGCGTTGCCAAAGCTCCAATGCAACCCCAATCGTCTTGTGAAATATAAAGGGAACTGGGGAGCAGGAACTGGGGAACAAAACGGGAGCAGGAACTGGGGTCCAGAGCAGGCAGGAGGAAAGCGCGTCAGAACAAAAACGTCCTTCCCAGCACAAAGGTGTGTTGCTAGGTACGTGCAAACACCTGCCGCACTATTAGTCCTACTAAGGTTACTGCGAAGAAAGAAAATTTCAGACAGCACGCCACAAGTGCAACCGCACAGAAACATCCTGCTATGTGCAAGTGCCTGTTGCCTCGCTGCGCATAAACCGTGTTTTGCGCGGCGCAAACTGAATGCTCCGCAATGGGGCCACAATGGCACACCACAAATGTATAAGCCTAACTTGTTTGCTGGCCAGGTACAGAAACACCCTGCTAAGTACATGCGCACGCCTGTGGCATTGCTGCGCATAGGATAATTTTGTGGTGTGTAGAAAGGATTCTTCGCAGCCAGGGCGCCGTCGCAGCAACATCCTGCTAGGTACACGCAAGCCTGTGGCATAGCTGCTCATAGAACATATAGTTGCTAGCTTTAATCGGATGTTAATGCTCCGCAACGGAGGCAGGAGGCAAGTGGAAAAATTGCTGCGCAAAGGTATATGGGACCCCATATGGTGTGTATAAGAATGAACTCTCCGCAATGGAGGCAGGGGGCACACCGCAAAAAAAAACTGTTTCCTAACGGCGAAAAATGGCGCGAACCCTGGTTGCAGAAACGGCCTGCCAAGCACACGCAACTGCCTGTCGCTTGGTGGCGCATCTAACTTTGGTATTGGTGCGGAGAAGGGAATCTCAGCAATGGAGGCAAACGGCGCAACTACAACAGGTGCACAAACTGTTGCCTGCTGCAGAAACTTGTGAAGTACGCGCAACTACCTGTGGCCTTGCTGCATATGCAACAAGAGGTTGCTGTAGTGGAGACAGAAAGCGCACTACAAGTGAAGAAACTGTTGCGGTCGCAGAAAGGCCCTGCCCGACACATGCACCTCACAACGCTTGAAGGTGCCATTCTGAACCCCTGACAGCAGCTTCAAGGTGATAGCGCCCAGGGTTCCAAAATTCCACGGTGACACCTGACAGCAAGGGTTCCAGCGCTGTTGCGCTGGGGTCAGCCAAAATTCCACGGCGACCCACAGAGATTGAAACCCAAGCTGTGCCCATATTCAATGACAATGCAGGTCGAATCGGTTTCACATCCAATCCAGGCAAACAGCAAAATCTAAAGTGCAAACAGATCAACACCAGCCAAGTTCCAAAGTGGGACACTAAGCACTGCCACCAAAATCATAGTCTCACGATATCTCCGATATGTTTGTTTGTTTGCCCTGCACTCCCCCGAACGCTGCACGCAAGGATTGAATTCCGGTTTTCAAGCCCTGTAGCCAAGCCTTGTAAACAGACTGCGCACCCTAGGTTTCTTGGAAACTGTCCACCACCAAGCCCAGACAGCGCCCAAGGTTGCAGACAGCTGTATACAAACCGCGTGCCACTGGAACCTTGTGTGCTGCTTGGGTTCGGCGGTGCGCAGTTTCCTGGAACCCAAGGTCCCAGCTGCTCCCTGGGGGTCTATCTGGGCTAGGGGTGGCGCGCAGTTTGTCTACAGCTGTCCGGAATGATGTTGGTTGCTGTTTTGGGCTTGGTGGTGCGCAGTTTCGTGGAACTATAGGTGCTGTCAGGAACCCGGGCGCCGTTAGCGCTAGAAGTTTCTCTACGTGGCAGCACAATTTCCGGTTTCTGTTGGGAATATTACTGCAATTACAATGTAGGTTTTTTGCACTTATTGTCAAGATGCACGAGTGAGGTTTGATGAAGGCGTTGCTATTCCATGTTCACAATTGGCTTGGAATCTCCAGACTTCTGCAGGCCAGGCTCCTCATTTGGGTTGCGGGTCAGGATCCCCCAAAGGAAATGTTTTGTTGGATATGGGGTTGTGTGTTTTGTCAATTTCCAGCCATGCTTGCCCTCAGTTTTCAGACCAGGAGAATACAAACAGCAATTGTAAGAAAGTGTGGAGTTGCAGACCGGATCTGAGCACGACCAATATGAGAGCAGAGCTTGGTTAGGCGGTGCACAAAGTGGGCGCAAAGAGCCATGTGGAAACTGTCAGCACGGCACTCAGAGAATCTGGCAGATTCTGGGAAGTGCGAAAAGAGGATTTGAAGTTTTGCGGCTTTGCACGTTGGGAAAATGCATGAAAGGCGATCATCCGCCAATTACAAACAAACCGACTCCATGTTTCTTTTGGTTGCTCCACTGTGAAATCCCCTGGGCAGTTTGTCCGAATAAGCAAAAAGAGTTCGTTTGACATTGTATTTTTTATGTGATACATGATGTGTGATTGTCAAGAAATGATGCGTTTTTGGGGATCGGTAGGTAGGGCATGGAGAGGAGATTTGTGGTATTAGTTTAAGCCTGTTAAGCCGCAGGTAGTCGGCGCTGAGAGCAGCATAGGTTGAGTGGAATTTGTGAAAAGTTCGAAATACATTCATTCATAGCGACTTGTTTTGCTCGATACTACCTACCAACAGCCCTTTGAAGGGTTTCCTTGCGGCCCTGACATGCCCTGGCAGTAAGGGCCAATTATTCAGTACGCTTTCAAATGCCAAAGGTAAGTGTTTGGCAATGCAATGCAACGCAGACGTCTTATTGTACAAATTAAAGAACTGTGAGAAAAGTCAAATCTTGTTTCTCACATGCGGAAGATCTTAACTCATGCAAGGTGTCGCACTTGCTGAACCGCTGCGTAGCACAAAGCTACAGTAGAAGCATGTTTCGTGTTTATCGTTTGGGGATGAAGGGGGACAATGTCTCTTCAAGCCATACCTCTTGACATATTACACAAGCAGTCATCAATCTTCTGCAGCTGGAGGGTGGATGAGCGTGCAAATCATTGGTTGCGCCGGCTCGTTTGTGGAATTGTGATCAAAGATAGCAAACTGCCAAGCTAGCTTTGGTTCAGTGTTGATTGTTTTGGAATGGCTAGTATCTATGATTTGAGTTGCTTGGCGTTTGGTATTTTGAGAATTCAACGAGAGTTTGTTTGGTTCAACCCTGGTGAGAAGGAGCTGTGACAGTTCACCTGTACTATCAGTTACTACCAGAAGACATGTTTATATACCGTACAGAAACTGGACAGCTTGCAAAACACATGTTAAGGACATCACTGGGTTTAAGCGTACTTGTGTCGTTCTTCATAGTTATACATTGGGAAGCAGGTGGCCTTCCGTGCTGTGGTAAGGGTGTACAGCGTACAACTGCTTTGTTGGAGTTCGCATCCGGGTACTTTTAGCTCACAGTTCATCAACAGCACTCACTTCGCTACTCAAAAAAACAAGTTGTTTGGCTTTGTCGTTTGTAGAAAAGCGGGTCCTGTGGGAACTTGGCACTTGGCGCCCATGCCCTTGTGCGCCGTGCTCATTTTGAGAGTCCTGTCTCATGTGGCTTCCACACAGTGATGCAAGGCCATCGCTTGTAGGTTGGAGTCCATCGCTTCTATGTTGGAGGCCATCGCTAGTAGGTTGGAGGCCATCGCTTGTAGGTTG